GTGAAGGAGGCTTCCTGTGGAGCCTCTGCATTATATAAGGCTATAGGTGGAAGCCTGAACCACATCCAGATCTTCAGAGATGGGAAATTTCCACTTGAAAGGATGAGCAGACCAGCCTGGAGAGGCTAGAACAGAAGATACTTCTTGAAAGAAAGACCGACAGGAAAAATACAAAACATTAGAGGCAGACTAAATGTTACTACAAGAACAAACAAGTTGCTTGCCCAGGAGACATCAAGGCAAGTGGCCAGGTCCCCTCAATGCAAACCCCCTTCCAAGACTAAGACTCAATGGGAATACACGCTCTGATTGGTGACCACGTTAATCACCGATAAGGGGAAGTGAGGGAAAAACAGCAATGAAGCTGCAAGCTAAGCCCTACAATGTTCAATAGACTCCTATGAACCTGCTTGGCCAGCAGTGTGGCAAGACCTGGGGACTCTTGGGCTCAGAGTCAGTGACACAGCCACAGAGGACCAGAGAGGAGATTGAAGCATCCAGCAGATAAGAGAGGGCATATGCACAAGAACACCCACACTTGCAGATAATAAATACCCACTTGACCTGGTTTCAATGACTGGATGATCAGAGTTCAACCAGAAGATAGAAGAGGGAAAAAAGAGTCATCTGATACAATATGATGAACTTGACCTACACCTATGGATGCAGTAGTTCAAAATAAGAAACAAATCTTCACAGCAAGGATCATTCCCACCACCTCTCACACACAGAGTAGACAGGGATGGGCAACTTGGACATTGGCTACCCAAAATGGGAGCTACAAAAGGCAAGAAGTGACTGGCTTACAAGCTTTTAAAAGGGAACCTAGAAAAAAAAAAAAGAGGGAACCTAGATTCAGAGGGCATGGAAGAAGGTAGAATCTCCACTGAGTTGTATCCAATCTGTATAGGCAGGGCGGATGAAATGAAATGCAGATAGGTCTCTTGTGATACAATAGTGAATAATTGTTATCAGGACTGATTGTGAGGGTTGAAAATGTAAAGGTAGACGTTTTGTAGCAAGGAGGGGAGTGATTAACTTTTCAGCCTAGGAGCGGAGGTCCCTGGGACCATCAGGGGAGAAGAGCGGAGAGCAGGACCCTACCCAGAGAAGCAACGATGCCTGAGATGGAGGCAGAGATGATGACATGGAGAGATGGAGCAGCTGGGGACTTTAGACACAGAGAGGGAGAGGGGCTGTGTGCTGACGACCAGGAGCAGGCTTGTAGTGTATATTGGTTGTTTGATGATACATGGAGGGGATTGTAACCATGGTAATGAAACGATATACAATGCGACAGGATGAATGTAAAACTAATGCTCTCCCATGCAAATTACCACATAATTCACAATAAAACATTTACACACACAAAAAAGAACACATGCCTGGTGCACACCATCCCTGATTTTAAACCAGTGTCCCCTTGTTCTGTTCAACAACAGTTGTCCCTTGGTCAACATAGAGGTTCCTCATGAGCACAAGTGTTCCAGAATACTGAATCACTGTATCTTATCATGATCCACACAGTCGAAAGCCTTTGCATAGTCAATAAAGCATAAGAAGTAAAATCTTTCTGGTATTCTCTGCTTTTGGTAAAGATCCATCTGGCATCTTGTTCCATGTTCTTGTCTGAAATTTATTGGTTTCGTTGTGTTGATTTTTGTTTTCTTTACATTGAGGTTCAACCCATATTGGAGACTGTGGTCTTTGATCTTCAGCAATACTCTTTGTTGTTGTTGAGTTGGTTCTGACTCATTGCAACCCTGTAAAGGGTTTCCAATGAATTGCTGGTGAGTTTGAACTGCTGACCTTGTCGTTCAAACTGATCTTGTGGTCCAGTGCTTATCCTAAGTCCTCTTTGCTTTCTTTAAGATTTAGGATCTGTACCTGTGCTAGACACAAGGTTAATTGTTGCTAGGTCACCAGCTGGGTTTGTGTCAGCTACCAAGAGGAACTTTCCTTCCTAGTGAACCCTGCTTCTCACAGCACCACTTGCAATGTGCAATTTGTTAGACGATGTACAGTTTCCTAATCAGCATGTCAGCAATTATATGAGTTATGGATAATAAATGAGAGAAATACTGGGAAAATACCCATAAAGCATTACACTTACAACAGATTTGGTAAGAAAACAGTACTTTCCAATCAAAGAAGACAAAATGGAAACACCAAAACAAGAGTCTTAAATATTGCGTGATTTTTCACTTCTGTTTATAACTTCCCATTTAAATAACATTTTCTACAATAAGATTACAATGTATAAAAGTATAAAAACTTTCAAAATATAGCTCATAAAAATATAAAAAGATATGTACAAATATGTTGATGAGACTTTGTGGTAAAGAATTTGTACATGAAAGAATCAAAATGGTATTATGATACTTATGAAGTCATGTGCTACAACTAAATGGTTAACTTGACTTACAGTCAGTTTGTCTGCATGTGAGGTATCATAAGGGACCTGAAGAATTCCCTCATATTTTACATTCATAGAATCAATCCACAATGTAGTATATTTCACAGATTTTCTAAGAATTCCAAGATTTTCACATTCCTTACATGTGCATATTTTTCAGAAGTATGATTTCTCACTTATTTACTATAGGTAATTACTTTAAGCTTTCCCATATACACAAATCTTCACATCTTGGAAAGTACAAGTAAAAAGCGGCAATTTTCCCATATCACATTTCTTACTCTGCATGGTTTCTCTCCCATGTGTTTTCTTTCAGGTGTTTTAAAATATGAGGGATTACCAAAAGCCTTCCAAAATATATGCTATTTCTTCTCAATGCACATTCTCCTCAAAAGGCTAAGAGAGAACTAAAGTGTCTCCCTCATTCCTTACATACATTAGGCCTTCCTCCACTGTGAGTTCTTACATGTTTACTTATGAGTGAGGAAAAACTAAAGGCTTTCCCACATTCATACATACCTAAGACTTCTCTCCATGGTGAAGTACCCGATGGCTGTTAGTGAGGTATGAAAGTTAAGGCTTTCTGACATTTATCCTTAGAAGGTCTCTCTACACTGTAAACTCTTCTATGGCTAGTGGGGGATGAGGACCAGCTAAGGGCTTTCTCACTTTCTTTACTATTCATAAGCTTTCTGTAAAAATAGCATGGTTTCAGAAGCCATCTTCTGACTTCAGGGGGAGGAGAGATTCGCCATCACCAGCAAGCCAAAGCTGATTCCTATAGGGCAGAGGTCAAATATACCTCCACCCTTCAACCTTTTTACCAATTCTGACACCAGCTGTACCTCCCACTGCACTCTACTTCCTTGCTAGCTTTGATAATTTATGGCAGTGGCCATAAAGAACTCACAGACCATACTCATGATTAATGGGGTTTATTAAGGAAGTAGCAGGTTACAAATCAGGATCAGAGTCAACATGGAGATAACAGAAAGAGCTTGGCATACAGTTCTTTGATCAGTACAGCTTCTTCTCAGACTCCTGTCACTGGGCCTTAGTTAGGGCTTTACTGCTACAGGGCCCTGCCTGGGTCTGGCCTTTGCTACCAGTCACTGCCTTACTTAACAACGCTTAAGAACATGGAGGCACACCACCCATCAGGAAGCCTCTGGCCCAAAGGTGCACAGCACTATGGGTTGGCAAGCCTAGGTCTATCAACAAGTACTCAGAGATACCTCACTCAGCCAGTGACCTTCCTGCCTGAACCTGCTCAGCTCTCTCATTCTGTTGTTAGGCAAGTCCACTGTGACTGTGTGGCTCTGTGAGCCAGGAAGCGCACCACGCCATCCTGCACTTGTCTCCTAGTTCTGTGGCCTCCTGTTTCTCTGCTATGCTTGCTGACACATTTTACTGTAGTATGCTGCTCCTCCTGCAGTATTAGCTCTGGCTCCTGGGTCTAGGCGGTCCTTAGTACAGGGACCCCAGGGCTAGAGGGCATGCTCTGCTACTGGTCTCCCTTCTTGATATTAGTGAGGTCCCTTAACCCTCTCTGGGATTGGCTTTTTAAACCTAGTGCGATGGCCAAAATGACCAACCCCCAGCAACAGTTCCACACTTATTTGCATGTTGTTGTTACTGTTGTTGTTGAGTGCCACTGAGTCACAGCTCACAGTGACCCTGAATAGGGTTTCTGAGGCTTTATATCTTCACAAGAGCAGAAAACCTCATCTTTCTCCCACGGAGTGGCTGGTGGACTTGAACTATGGACTTTGTGGTTCACAGTCCAGTGTTTACTGTATGACATCACCGTGCTCCCATATTTATTTGCATAGTCCCATGTAATCATTTTGTGGGAGTCACAAGACCATGACTAGAAGGAGCACATGCTAGTAATTCACTGCTATGTAGGTTATCGCCTCTGTGAGATCTAATATGGTCACTGAGATGTGAGAACAGACTAAAGGCTTTCCCACCTTCTTTGTGTTCATAAGGCTTCACTCCACTGTGAACTTTTATATGTCTAGTGAGTTGTGCAAACTGCTTAAAGGCTTTCCCACACTCTTTACATCCATAAGGTCTTTCTTCACTGTGTGTTTTTACATGTGTCCTAAGGTGTGAGGACCGACTAAAGGCTTTCCCACATTCCTTACATTCATAAGGTCTCTCCCCACTGTGGGATCTTATATGTATAGTGAGAGATGAGGAAAAACTAAAGGCTTTCCCACATTCCTTACATTCATACGGCTTCTCTCCACTGTGAGTTCGTGTATGTGTAGTGAGGGAGGAAGAACAAATAAAGGCTTTCCCACATTCCTTACACTCATAAGGCCTCTCTCCACTGTGAGATCTTATATGTGTAGTGAGGGCTGATGAATGAGTAAAGGCTTTCCCACATTCCTTACATTCATACGGCTTCTCTCCACTGTGAGTTCGTATATGTGTAGTGAGGGATGAAGAACTACCAAAGGCTTTCCCACACTCCTTACATTCATATGGCTTCTCTCCACTGTGAGTTCTTAAATGTCTAGTAAGGTGTGAAGACAGACTAAAGGCTTTCCCACATTCCTTACATGCATAGGCCCTCTCTCCACTGTGACTTCTTACATGTCTAGTGAGGTTTGAGGAACGACTAAAGGTTTTCCCACATTCCTTACATTCATAAGGCCTCTCTCCGCTGTGAGTTCGTATATGTGTAGCAAGGATTGAGGAACGACTAAAGGCTTTCCCACATTTCTTACATTTAAAAAGCCTCTCCCCACTGTGAGTTCGTATATGTCTAGTGAGGCTTGAGAAATAACTAAAGGCTTTTCCACATTCCTTACATTCATAAGGTCTTTCTCCACTGTGAGTTCTTACATGCTTAGTGAGGGTTAGAAAACAGCTACAAGGTTTCCCATAAACCTTGCATTTACATTTCTCTCTCACAGGAGGTTTTAGGTAAGAAGGACAAATGCAGTTTTCTCCACATTCTGTACAATGATGAGATTTGTAACCAGTGTGAGATCTGATGTGATGCTTGAATGATGACTGATCCACAAATGCTTTTCCACACTCAAAGCAATCAAAAGAATTTACTCTAGCAGCTGTTCTTTTGAGCTTAGTAAGATTTCCAATCCAGCTGAAAGTTTTTCCAAACTGATTACCTTCATCATCTTTATTTACTTTACCATACTCACTTTCACAAAGGCTCTTGACCGTATATATTCTGTAAAAAATAGGAAGCGTGTTAGTTGAAATTTAATACCATTTTACAATTACCACATTTAAGTTTAAAGTGACAGTTTCCACTTAAAACCAAATGGCCACCACTCGTCTGTCAGTTTGTCGTACTGTGGTGACTTATGAGTTGTTGTGATTCTGAAAGTTATGCCACAGGTATTTTTAAATACCAGCAGGGTCACCCATGGTGGACAGGTTTCAGCTGAGCTTCCAGATAAAGACAGACTAGGAAGAAAGAGTGACAAACTACTTCCGAATATTTAGTCAAGAAAACCTTATGACTAGCAGAGAAACACTGTCAGATATAGTGAGGCAAAATGAGCCCCTAAAGGTTGGAAGGCACTCAAAATGCGACTGGGGAAGAGCTGTATCTTCAAAGTAGAGTTGACCATGACGACGCGAATGGAGTAAAGCTCGTGGGAGAAAAGCCCACGGGACCTTCATTTGCTGATGGGGCACAACTCAAAACGAAGAGAAACAGCTGTAAACATCCATTGACATTCGGAACATGGAATGTACTAAGTATGAATCTGGGAAAATTGGAAGTTGTCAAAAATGAAATGGAATGCATAAACATCGATATCTTAGGCA